TGAAAATATACAAAGTACATTCTTCAGTTTAATTCGGCTCTCACAAAATAAATATTTAATGCCACAAATGAAGTAACAGCAGTAAAAGGGAATTATTCATAAATCTCAAGGCTACAAGATTTCCACCTTCAAGAAAATTCTCACCGCCGAAAAAGGATTGCGCAGTTGAAAAATCCGGTTTCGTCCGCTTTGAACCGGGTTCATCTGGCGCGAACTAGTTTTTGCATGTTCACGTGAGCTTGTGCTAGCCGGGTTACTTCCACCCAGTGCTGGCTGTGCGAAGAATGGCCTGAGAAATTAAAAAATGTTTGAGATGATCAAGATGATCAGAAATCATGCGCGCCTTGGCAGACTTATACCTTCGAACTTAATAATCGGATACAAAATTCTATACATAGTCGACAGCACATCAGAATATATCAACATTTTTGTTATAGCATCTGAATATTACAATCACAGAGTGCCACAATTATTAATTGGTTTAATTAGGTACAACGCCTAGGTACTTAAAATTTCCATACTGCGTTAAAAAGGTCCCCAAACTTTAAATTCCAAGCGCCACTAATAAATACACTTCTTCTGAAGACGAATTTTTGCCCATTATTTTTGGCTGAAATTGTAATTGAGAGAAAAACAATGCAAATGAAGCAATACCTTCGTTTTCCTGGAAGACAACACGGAATGTTTCCATCTCAGAATCTTCTCAACACTGAAGACACTACACAAAATCTTACCAAACTACGAGTACTCCTAAAACCGAGTATTCTCGATATTTTCTCCGAAACTGTACATCCCTATTTTCTAGAGGCGGATTCTGTGCTGCAGCATAACATTTATAACGTCGGTTTGCTTGAGTAGACGCTCTTACGTGCTTGCATATGAATTGTAAATAGTTAAGAATTCTATTTGGAAAATGCCGGATTTTGTTTAAAATTTATTCAGCTTGGGAACGTTTATAATTCAAGTGTACTTTTACTATGAGATGAAGGAGGTCTTCAAGTTCTCTTTTAGAAATGAGTCGGTCATAAGCCAACGACAGTATTTTATTCAATTAGTGGTCTCCTTCAAGGCACGTCACTGAGCCTCGTCAATTAACATTTTCCTCACTTAGTGATTTGGATTTCCTAGGTTATATTAAAACACAAACTAATTCTTTTGTGTAAGGACTCTTTGATAAGGCCTTCAAGGCTCTGAATCATTCTTTAAGTTTGGTCTATCAAACCATGTTAGATCTTAACGTGACTCTATGGTTTCCAACTTGAATATTAAAGAACAGTTACATAAAATCTTTTTGCATGATCGCTGGTATTCAAAGCTACTTATAATAAAACCTAAAACCGTCAAAAAACTGTTAGTAAAATAAACACACCCAATGTTAATTACTGCCCTTAAATACTCTTCCTTTTTAGACTTACAGCTGCTTTCTAAATTGCCAGCCAAAAAACTATTGTTCCAACATCAAGTGCAGTTAAACGGGATGTGCAATTCCTTAGAGACGTTGAACAAACGTTCCTTGTTGGACGATTTCCAAAATCTGTATAATTGGCCGCAGTGGCAAATAATTGTTTCTTCTTTATTCCTGTTTTAAGCAAATTGCTTGCGTTGATTTTAATTAGGCACATTGCTGGTTTCTGGCAGAGAATACTCGGGGACAGTAAGCTTGCTTCAACTTGTATTTTGGTTAGTTGGCTACATGTCGTCGATTTGTATATTTTGTCCAGGGAAAGATTTGGGTAGAGTCTCAGATCATTATGGATTATGGTGATCCAATAAATCATAACCAGTCAAGGTCATGGTTTGGATAAGTTCTGTCTTCAATTTGTTAAAATCTTTGTTTAAAAAATCAAGAAAAAAATAATAACGAATCGAGACAAAGAAAATAAATAAAGAAAAGAATAAAGTTTCATGGTGGCCAGTTGCACGGTCACAGAGTTCCCTGCATAAAAGGCACCCACTGAAAATCAGCAGTGTCTTGCCAGTTACACCACAGAATAATAATAAGTACTACGTACAGAAGTTTTTCTTCGCGAAGGTATTCAAAAAAATGTATGCTCAATGTCATCAACAATATGGTGTAATTTAGCTTGTCTTAAGAGTCAAGCACCGTTTTGTTGACATACGTCAGTGATCGGTACTGTCTTGATGCCATAGGGCTGACTGCTACAAGAAGCTACTGTGTCGCCATCTAGCGCACCACACTTGCATTCACTGCTCTTCGCGGCAACGCGCAGCTACATGCGGCCGCCAGTTATATAGTGTAAGAGCTAGCACCTAAATATTTTATAACACACATAACTGTGACAATTTATTTCACGTGGGCGAAGCCAAAAAGCTAGTAAGAAATAAAAATTCAATTCAGTAGGTATTTCAAACCAAATTTTATTACATAAACAAACATTATACTAATTTCATTATGGGCCCTTAGTATGTGAAAACTGCAATTGACGATATTTCGCACTGTTTTCAATATTATGTATTACAGAACGTATGTGTGATGGGATGATATTTTCGAAAACACGATTAGAAAATANAGTATTTTTTTATTTTTTTCCATAATACAAGAGTACGCGTGCGTGTGTCAATGCTCGCTCGTATCTCGTATGTGACGCCTTGTCGAATCGCCTCCTGTAGGTGGGCTATCGTGCGTGTTTTGTTTTCGATGTGAACTCGCGGAGATGAACAGGCCTGGTTACACTGTCAAGATGGTATTGAGTGGGTGACCTTTTTGGCAACATTTATCATTTCTTTTTTATGTGTATGTCTTTTGTCGCCAAATAAAATTATTTTCTTTATTTCTTTCCTGCATTTCGCGATCTTAGAAATCGGACCACATAGAGCTATTTGTGGGCTTGGTTGGAATTGCGATTCTCTATAAAGTTTTTCTACAGCTTTTTTGAAGCTACTGCATCTCCATCCTGTATTTCTTATGCTGTTTGCTCGAGTGCAGTCGACGCAGCTCCGATGCTTCCAGCGGATGTTGTACTAGCATCGTTATTTCGCTTCTTTGTTCGTTCTATTGTTTTGCGCAACTGATTTTTAATTAAGCATGGATGCTCTTCGAGTATTTTTTAATTTACATTATTATTTAATTTATTTTGAGGCTTGATGAGTCTCCTAAGGGAATGAAACATAATATTCAACAAACAATGACACAAATTACATATCCTTAAAGTTTTTAAATCCTCTTCTATAGTACAAGCTTTGCTTAGTTTGGGACTAGAAGCGCAGTGTGAAATGTCCAAGGATATTTATTTATTTATGGAATTTTAACTATGAAGTTTGGTGTTACTTGAAAGATGGTTTTCTTTGTAAAATTATCTCTTACTTACAAGCCATAACGTTTTTGCTTTCTAAATTCTCTACTCTTCTCACAGTCTGTAAGAACTTGTATTCTGGCAAAAAAACGCTTCTTATTCTTATTCTTATGCACTTTAGTTCTTATCTCAATCAGTTCATTAATTAATCTAATTATAACCACTGAATACTTGTAGGCCTAAGCCAACAACAGTACCTGAGCGTTCTTATTATGGAAGCCTCGTCTATAAGATATTAATCGTCTGATCCAAGGCTTACAATATCAAATTCCTTGCGAAGCGGGATTACACAAATTCGGGAATCGTTTCGCGTCGGACTGCGTACTCTGCTAATGCGGTTACGAAAATTAAAAAAGATTGGGGATTAGTAAGGAAAATTCTGCTGAGAAGCCATATTGTTTTTTCTAAACCGTTATGGGATTAGTTCGTTTAAAGAGATTTGTGGACTCATCGCTTTTGGAATTCAAGATTAGGAAAGCTTTTATGGAAATTTGTTTTCGATAATACCTACAATATGTACCTACGAATGGAACACCTTAGACTATACATTAACGACTATTACAATTAAATAAGATGCCATAGTGTAAAGCTTGATCTGCAGCTATTGTCGTCTGTATTTGTACTTTTCCGATTTTATGATTTTTTATTTAGTACTCAGCTTTCACCACTATTTGTTTGTGGTTTATTTTCCTGTCTCTTAGATATTTTACATCTAATTACACATAAAAATATTTATAATGTTTATGCAAATTGAGCCACAGAACTATGTTCCGTGTGCTAGTTATTCTAAAACTAGCAGTTCATTAATTCATACATCAGAGGCCAGAGCCATTACATTCCACACGACACACGAAGAACTACTTATTATGATAATGATACAAGTAATACATGTAGGTAATTAATGGTAATATTTTCTCTCATTACTACCACCCCGCGCATTTCTTACGGCGCTCTTTCCCTAATTCCCGATTTTGTGCTAATTGCTGATTTTGTAATTAATCACAAGAGAGTTATTTGATTAATAGGCCTCCGAAGGGGGAGGGGGATAAAGAGACGATGATTTAGGGATTTCGTTCAAAGACCGTGTGCCCGATCTCCCCTCAAGAATCGGTTTTCACCAGTTTAGTGTTTCGTCTAATTAATAAGTGCGGAGTTTGAGAGTTTCCTATTTTAATGTTTAGGAAATTGTTGGCGGTTCGAACATTGGGGTTATTTTATGTAAAACCTTCTGAAGCTGTACAGTTTTATTACAATTTGTTCTATTTATAATGGAAGTGATGGGTATACAAACAAGTAACTCCTAAACCTTAAATCTCGTGCCAAAAGTATCTCTACCTTTGATCTCGTCAAAGTAGGAATTTATAAATAAATACTGTTTCTATACAGTTAGTTATAAAAATCATTCACAAAGACTAATTAAATGAAACAATATCGGCTGAAATTTAAAGCTACATTACATCACGTAATGAGTTTGATTTAATTAAATTACGTTGCTCGATGATGAATAAATTCATAATTTAGCCAATTGCGATACAGGCTGTGTTCCAAACAGTTTTAATAAAAGCAAATAGTGAATCTAAACCATTGACACATCTCCTGATGCAACGCTGAAATCCAGCTCTTCATGAGATCAACTTACCGTTGCATCCAAATGCGAAGAAGGACTAACTGAGCCACAGTTCATAAAAACCACGAGTGATATCAAAATGGCGCTGGAGACCAGCAGCTGACAGAGACAGGCCCGAAGAGTGGAAGCTGCAAAGGGCCTCCCCAGGCCTAAGGCTCGCCGAGGCCCCGGGGACATGGCCCGGCCGCCCCCGCAGTGGCAGTGCGGGGGCCGGCGGAGTCTCAGGCCTGACAGGCCCGGGCCACGGGAACACCCAGGTCTTCTGGGAGAAACACAGACCCCCAGGCCTCTGCTACGGCTGCGGAGGTGACTGGCAGTTCAAAGGTGCTTTGAAGGTGGACGTGGACAGTTCGGAGTATACGGGTTATAGATACTACTTTAAGAAGCCAGGATACAGGATCAAGTCGCGCTCGTGCGAAGACGCGAGGTTTATTCATATCAACTACGTTCTTCTTGCGGAGGTCAAACACTTCGAGAAGGTTAGTGTGTTTTCTAATTACTTGTCTTTTTGATTAATGCTCTCCTTCGGCTTACTAGTGAAAAGAAGTCCTTTTTGTTTGTTTTGTTTGTCCATTAAATCAAATCAAATATATTTATTAATAAAACATAGGTACAAAAGGTGATAATTATAATTACAGCTCTATGCTTAATAATTATAATATAAATGTATTACGAGTATATCAGCACTGCACCACAGATCACAGTAACTAAAGGGAGATATGACAAGGGGGCGGGGCCGGTGTCGCAGCAATATGCCCAAAAATAGAACATTATGATAAAGTCAGGGTTGTGATATTTTGTGTTGTTTGTAATTAAAATTTAAAAGATATAAAATATCGTATAACTTATTGTTACTGTATGTATAGTGTTTAAAGTAAAGATGATTATTACAGCCCGTTTTCCAACTTTCCATGGATTGTAACTTTAACGTAATCCAGGAAAATGATTAAAATCCCGTTCAGCCCTAAAAGTACACGAAATTGCTCGCTCCCCACTAATTCGCTTTACATTCGCTCTAATACCGAATTGTTAACCGAACCACCGCTAATTTTAAAATTGCTCCGGCAATTTAATGAATTTTAACGGGATAGTTGACCGACATAATATTTGCGACCTAATTCACTGATTAATGATGTTGATTTATTTAAAAACTTATTGGATCTAGAGGCTGGACTCATTAATTTTAATTATTGGTTGCTAAAAATACTAAAAACACACACACATCGAAATTGAAACAACAAAAATGTATCAAACTATTGTTAAGATTTGTACATATTTTTGTAATTATAAATCTTTTAAGGCGTTAAACTCTTAGTCGAATTATCCGATAAAGTGTTCCAAGGTTGTGAATAAAAGAAGTACCATTTCTTTTTGACAAATTTCCTCAATCGACCTTGTACCTTGAAACATGAATAATAATGTCCCTTATCTCTAAAAGGTAGATATCGGAAACGAATTATCTTCACCCAAAAGCTTCTCTAGAACATTAAAACGAAATGTTTCAAAATGAATGATATTGTGGGGTCCGACGCGGGATATTTCTCATTCCGAATATTAAATCTTTTTATCTGATTTCGGTAAAATATTGCGGCTGATGAATTAACATATTTCTCTTTTATATGGGTTCTTAGAATAAGTAATTTGTCGGCCGTTTGGTGTAGTGGTTCAGAACGTGCTACTATGCCAAGAGGTCCCGGGTTCGATTCCCGGCCGGGCAAAAATTGAAATGATGAATTTTAATTTCTGTGACGGGTCTGGGTGTTACTATGTATAATATGTATGTATTTAAAAAAAAAAGTATATAAGTAGTATATCCGTTAAGCTAGCACCCATAACACAAGCATTAAGTTGCTTACTTTGGGGCTAGCTGGCGATGTGTGAAATTGTCTAAAGAATTATTTAGAATGAAATAGTCTGGCTTTCTAATGTATGACCTCCTACGAAAATATATTGGAGTAAAAGATATTTGATTGTAGCTCCTTGAATTGCGAGTTTGACTCTATTCTCGTAGGTCTTTATTATGAAAGTAGTGTACTATTACTATCCAATCAATCATGCCATAGATTACCGGTAATACGAATTTCTAAGTTTATTTTGAGATTACTGAGGAATAATTCTCCTTTATCGTCCTTCTACCCTCATAACCCGAGGTGAGCTGGTATCTTGTCTTGGAGTAAGCATGATCACGTTAAGATAGAACTATCTTAGACCTCATAATCATTTACCATTTGTGATTGATAACAAAATAATGCATACTCAACTTTACATTTAAATAAAATAAACTTGAATCTGTAAGTTTTAGTTGAGTACATCCCACGATTCAATGGATAAATTGCAATGAAAATTAATTGGCGATTTCAACTCCCTTATTTACGATAGTTCGTCCCACTAAATTCCTGATTTTACTCCCTATAAATCCGTCCAAATGCCCACTAATTCTGTAGTCACATGCCGACTATACGTCGGTCCACAAATGTGGATAATTACTAGCCGGTGCAACGGTAAACGCATTACTGAGGATTACCGATTGCCTCTCAGTTGCCGATTGGGAGTGCAGTGATATGCTGCACCGATGCTACCTTTGAGCATGAGTAGATTAGGATTGTGGAATGGAAATTGTGCATATTATTACAAGACCTTAAACGTTATCAATCCATTTACCTACCTATTTTCATTAAAATGAATAAGAAACTACTTCTGGCGCAGTCAGGCAAATATGCCAAGAAACCGGACAAAACTTGTCATTTTCAATAATTTAGGTCTTCTTTTGCGAGGCCTTTGTGTGTGTGCGTGATTTATTTAAAAAATAAAGAATAAATTAATGCTTAGACCTGTAGGTAAGCAGTCCATGCAATGTAAATCTTAGAGGTCTTGAATTCTTGATGCCTGGGCAATATTCTTGACAACGTTAACCACACGTAGCATCCATATGGCAGAATAATATTTTTACACACCAAGAGGTTGCATATTTTTCTTTACAAGTACAGTGCATTATGCTAAAATTATTCAAGCTCACCTTGTTCCTGCATGCCTCAATTACTATACCTACCGCTCGGTTGCACCGCGTTTATGCATTCACGCCGCCGCGCCGCGCCGCTTCGGCTCGCGCCGAGACCGGACGTGATCCGGTTTGAACCGGTTTACGCGCGCCGAGAACCGGTTCAAACTGGAGACGCCCGGATTATTAGATTGCGGATAAGGAATTCATATGTGAAAGAAATTAGCGGCTTTCACGTGTATTTAATAAAATTAATAATGTAATTATGTGTCTGCCAGCCTAACGGATTTTCTTTTTCAATAATCCTTTAAACAGTCCTAGCTAGTTTGACAATTTGATGTAAGAATAGGTTCAAAACTACTACAAAAGTTCACAAATCCGACTTAAAATTTACTTAGAATGAGTATTGGTGAAATTTTCGGTAATTCCACTTCCAAATTAACCTTTGAACCAACCAGAATGTGCTCTATTATAATAAAAATATACTTATTCTTTACTATTTTAAAGTTGTTTAAAAAGTCTCTTGCATTCTAGCCAGACTAATAAAAAGTATGACTTATTTAATGATCTGTAAACATTGAAAAGCTTCTGAGCAAAGTTGAAGTATTGCAGCGAATAATTTGAAGAAATCCAATTTATTTATTTAATTAAATAGAGAGCTACAGTTACTTCAGTTATAGTTATTACGGTTCTCAAAGCTTTAGTTAGAGCTTTAGCGTTCTGAGACTTTCACTCAGCTTTATATCTTTCGAGATTTACATCTTTTTATGCAGTTGCAAAATAAATTAATCAAATTATTTTGCAGTGGTCACAATCTCAGTTAGTATTTCAAGTTGATTTAAGTATCTTTTTCTACAAGTAAATTAGAGAATTAAGTACAAAAAGCTTTTTCACAATTTGAGTTTTATCTGGAATTCGAACCCAGCACTGAGTCGAACAACATTGACTTAAAAAAGTCCAATAATTAAACTACATATTTGACCAGCACCGAGCATAAGGTTTCAGAGCAAATAGAAATCTGTTTTACCATAAGGTGCAAGAGTACAATATACGTATATTTATTAATATTCTTCCAACTTGAACATTGATACTACTCGTATAAATAAAAAAATAAATAATTTTGTAGCACCCTTTGAAATAGTAGAACCTTAATCCATCAGTAAATAAATTCTTCACTAGTTTTTGCAGATGCTTGTTAAAACAACTCTGTAAATACGTATTTGAGTCTGTAAGCAAAAACCTTTCCAGTTAACAAGTTTTTGCGCGAGGTTATCGCAGGTGGCCGGCCCTCTGTATCTGGTTAAATCCGTCTACGACCGGTTACCAGACCGGGGATTACCGCCCTGATCCGGTTCTCACTCGTTTCGACTTGATTTATTCACTTTAGGGAAACCGAGAGTTTTTTAGATGAAGCAGTTACAAATGTTTTGATATTCGATGATTTATATTCTGCCGTTTAGTCATTTGTGGAGTTGGAAATTTTTGTATGCTTTATGAAAAGTTTTTGAGCAGTGACTAAAACGACTTAGTCCAAGTTGTGTCGAAGTAAGCTTAATGTTTTCCCTAAATGGTTGTTCTTTTTTATTTTTTTACCCACTTTTCATACCTAACCTTTATCTAAACTCTTATATTTTGCTTTCTTTAGCATAATATGCCAAAAATTTCGTTAATCTTAATGGTGAATAAGGTGATTAGATACCTTATTAGATAATTACACTACCATGCATTTGTCGTTATTGCAAGTTACCTTCCCCGTGTATCCGGCTAAACCTAGCCGGCCGGTTACCAGCCGGGGATTACTGCCCTGATCCGGTTCTGCAGTCGTTTCGACTTGATTTATTCACTTCGGGGATTTAAAGAGTTTTTTCGTTACAAATGTTTTGATATTCAGTGGTCTGGAGTGATTTATCGACGGGTTTAAATCTTTAAATGTTGCGGATCCACAGATTTGGTGTTCGAACGAATATGCAAAAGTTGTTTGTTAGATTTGCTTTGCGGGTTTTGCATTCTATGCTTTATGTATGATGCTTTTTGAAAGACTGAATTTTTTCACTCATGACCTACCTAGTCAATGTTTGAATGCTAGAGGTCCATAGTCACTTTCTATTGTGTCGAAGTCCAGCATTCTACTTCTATCGTTTGATGACGATGATAATGATGATAGCACACCAAGTCTAATGGTCAAAGTTGTGTCTTGAAATTTGGGATACAGAACGCTGAATAAATAAGCCAAATCTTAGTAACCACTGTCGATTGATAATGATGTGTATTTCAGTCTTTGACAATGGTGACATCACTATCATTTGAACACAAAAAAACAAAACGAAAGCAATGTACCTAAGGGCCCACGGTGACTTTTTGACAGCATCGCGATTAACGCGCGTTAGTCGCATTTGCGACGCACTACAGAAGTAATGCCAACGCGCTACTCATGCGCTACAGCAGCGCAACTGCATCGCTACCAAGTCGCCGTGGGCGAGG